ATTTCGTAATTCTGACTTTAATCTCATAATTCTGACTTTTTCTAATAATTCTGACTTTAATTTCGTAATTCTGACTTTAATCTCATAATTCTGACATTTTTCTTATAATTCTGACTTTTTTCTTATAATTCTGACTTTTTTCTCATAATTCTGACTTTAATATTAGAATTCTCACTTTTTTCCTCATAATTCTGACTTTAATCTTCGAATTCTCACTTTTTTCTGATAATTCTGACTTTATTCTTATAATTCTGACTTGAATTTCCTAATTCGGACTTTTTTCTTAGAATTCGGACTTTTTTCTTAGAATTCTGACTTTTTTCTCATAATTCTGACTTTAATTTCGTAATTCTGGCTTTAATCTCATAATTCAGACTTTTTTTTCTCATAAATCTGACTTTTTTTCTTAGAATTCTGACAGCTTACAAATATGTTAGCATCAACCCGTAGCCTTGTCTAGAGCTAAACTAGCTCTCTTGTTTTAATCACCGTCTGCTCTTCCATTAATGAAATAGCATCACCGGGGACCCCTCGGGCCTGTAAAAAGTTGCCTAATTCCGTAATTTTCCGTAAGAACATTTTGGATCTGGTCCAGTTGTAGACCAGATCTGAATCAATACTGAATCTGTTAAAGGCTGAAGATTAGGGTGATGGCAAAGAGCCCTCTAATGTTCGGATCAGACTGCTGTAGATGAATTGTACATTCAAAGAGATTGTCATAACAAGTGATTGCTGTAGAAACAATAAATGTTTTTCTGTTGGTTAATCAGAGTGGTTCGGATAACTTTGAACAACCTTTTCTGTAGATAAGTGAATATAAACCATGTTTTTTTCTATTTAAAGATACATATTCGTACTCTCTTATTTTTTTGGAGACATTAGTGTAATTTGCAATAATTTTGGACACCACAAAAATAAATTAAAATCTACATCTCCTTGGTATAAATACATTTTATTCCAGCTCAGCATAGTGTCTAAAGAAATAAGAAGTTGCAGTGATGATTATAAAACAAGGAATCGGTAGATTAGTTGATAGTCAAAGCAACTTGCTGACAAATACAAAAAGTGCAAGGAACTGGAAACAGCAATACAATATTTTCTATTACATGAATCAAAACTGGACTGCAAAAAAATAAAAGATAAGTCACAACTAGGGCTGAAACTGATCATTATTTTGCAAATCGATTCATCTGTTGATTATT